CCGCAGACCCAGGCTCGTATAGGCGGCGTCTACGCCACCGGCACCTACAGACAGCTCGACCTGCACTTTGTTCTGAACACGTCTCCTTCCACCCTCCACAGCCAGCGAGAGGGAGGATTTGCTGCCCTCGTCACGGCAGATCGGCAGGAGCAAACACTACCCAAGACAATCGCATTTCTCCAAGGCCAAGGAGCGAGAAGCCAGGTACCAGGGCTTCAAAGAGTAGGTGGGAAACTGGCTCCAGCCTCTGCAGGGCAGCTGAGAGTACCGAGGGGGTAAGCTCGTCACTCGAGGTCGCACGGGTAACGAGCTCAACTCCAGTCGTGGCTGCTTTAACAGTACCGAGCTAGACAGCGATCTGAAAAATTTGAAGGGTATGCAAATAGTGCGCTGTTTGATCTGCAAAGATGAGAACGTGACATTAGAAAGCAAATCGAGTCTAAATTATCAGCCGGACTACTGGTTGTGTAACAGCCTTCCACAGAAAGCTGCAGAGCTTCACACGGTTACAGAACTAAGAGATATGACAGCAGACAGTAATCCCCCACCAGCGGGACCAACAGACCAGATGAAAGTTCCTCAGTGACAGGATTGCTGGAAGATCAGCACCTTCTCCCCTTTCTTTGCAGTTAAAAAGAAGGGAAGAGAGACCTGCAGAAGATGTGGGGTTGTACTCATAGGTCATGCTACAGAAGATGTTGAGAACCTCTGAACTCGCTGGTTCACTGCTCATTTTCTCCTTAACTGCTTTAGTCCTTGAACAAGGGTTGTTTCAGCCCTTTGTGGTACCCCCAAAGCTATGTTCTACCAACTTCACCTTCACGCCAGCAGGCAGAAAGGACACAGCACGCCAACGCGCTCTGCAGAACCAGAATTTCTCAATGGACAGTCCAACATCCGAGCAGTCCCTCATAGCACAGATCTCATCCACCATCCCACAGACCAAGCTCCCTGTGATTTGTGCTTAGAAAAATAGTACGCTCTGGCTTTGATGTCTTACAATCTCCAACATGCCTATTAATAACTTCAGCGACAGTCTGTCGAGAGACATCGTGCCAAACCGCGCTTATCTCCGGAGCACAGGGAAAATAGTTTCTGTTGTCATTTTTTTCTTCGCTAATAAAGTGGTGGCGAGAGCATCCCATGCCTGCAGGATAAACGCGAGGTGTAACGGGGATTATTTATTCAGTAGCTGCTTTGAGTCTATTGAAATTTGCTTCAGCCTTCCTGCCCAGGGCTCTGGGTGCCATTGTTTCCTGGCTTCCGATTCTGGCGAGGGGAAAAGGAAAGGCACCTACTGTGATGTGCCCCTCCCAGCAGGGCTCCCTGCCGGA